GATATGGCTAGTGAATTACATGTGTGGACAACAGTCATTCGAGGAGTTTAGGAACCAGAGATCAAAGTCTCATAGAATTAAATAGGGAGTTCCCCAAGATGGAGTCCTTTCGCCGATCCTGTTTAATTTATATATGTCTAAACACCCCGGACGGCGTCCAATATCAAAACTTCCGACGGTACATTACCACAAAATACTTGGTGTCACATTCGATATCCTTCTTATGTCCTCCGCTCACACCACTGCAATATGCAACTAAATGCGAAGTACTCAAGGTACTCAAGTCTCTAGCCGGCAGCACTTGAAGAATGATAAAGAAACTTTGTTAACTACCTAACAAACGGTTGTCTGGTCAGTGGTAAACTACGCAGCGCCAGTGTGGACTCCGAAAATTAGCGTCGCCCTTTGAACAGTAACAGGCTTTTGGTTATGGAACATAACACCATGCTATCAAAGCAGTTCCTAACGGGATATCAACGGAGGGGCCACCCGAACCACCATCTAACCGAGTGTATGGTAGTCTATTGACTGGCCGATGGACACATCTATGAACATGTCTACTGACTAGTCTATGGAATAGTCTGTTGACTCATCTATGGACTAGTCTGTTGACAAGTCTATGGCCTAGTCTGTTGACAAGTCTGTGGACTAAGCTATTGACTAGTCTATTAGCTAGTTTGTGGACTATTGAGAAATCTATGAACTAGCCTATATACTATTTTATTGACTGATTTTGACAAGTTTATTGACTTGTCTATTGATTAGACTATTGACTAGTCTATTAATTACTCCATTGAATTGTCTGTGGACTATTATGCTGACTAGTCTATTGATAAGTATATGGACCGGACTATTAACTAGTCTATTGACGAATCTGTGAACTAGTCTATTGACTCATCTATGGATTTGGATATTGAATAGTCTCTGTACTAGTCTATTGACAATACTATGATGAGCATATTTGGGAAAATATTGTGCACATTCTGAATTGGTTTTCTGTATAATATAAAAATTATGATTTAAACTTAAAATTTTCTTTACAGGTGTTGGTGCCAAGGACTCTTTAACCGTTACACCATACTTGTTAGCGTGGCCCATACGCTATCGCGTCTTCTAACAGATAAATCACTACTAAAAGATAGCAATCTCAATATACTCTTTGTCATCTTTAATGGGGAATCCTACGATTACATTGGCTCTCAAAGATTTGTATACGATTTGGAGAATAAAGATTTTCCCAAGGCCACCACCTATACCACACCCATTACTTTTGATAATATAGAATTTGTTTTGGATTTAGGAAACATTCGATGAAATGTCAAGCATTAAATTACACACTATAAGTGAATTTCCTTATGCCAAAATGATACTACGCAAATTACAGCACTATGCCACCACACCGAAATATGATTTCAATATAAATTTCGAAAATTCTATAGGCTATCAAATGCCACCTACATCGGCTCAATCATTTTTGAGAAAAAATCTTTCCTTTCCGGCAGCCATCTTAAATGCACCACCCACTAATCGTTTCTATCATTCGGTCTATGATGATGGTGTAAATTTGAAATATAATTACACGAATACTTCACTGGATTATACGCAATTAATGGGTAGAGAAGATGCTTTAAAATATTTCAAAACCGATGATATACAAATGAAAATACGTAATGTATCGGCAATTATAGCCATGGCCTTGTATGAAACTTTGACGGGGAAAGAGTATGTAGACGATAAATTTCCCAGTCCAGTATTGATTGATGAAATACTTTATTGTTTTGTTAAATCACAAAATTGTCCATTATTTTTTGCGGCCTCTAAGCCGAATAGTTTTAAAAAGTTGCCTTTAATAGCACCAAATCGGTAAGTATATAAATATTAACTGATGTTTATGAGAAATTTAAAACTTGTCTTGATATAATGTGTTTTTTTTTAAATATTTCTAGTTACATTAGTGTCAATCGTGATAGTCAGGAAGCCACTATTTGGACTTATCGCATAATGGGCTATTTATTGTCACAAAAACTTCCTAATGTAGCCAAAGAAAATTGCACCTATTTACCCAGATACTGGTTTGCTGGCTTTAATAAACTGGGAGAATGTGGTATAACCACACAAAATTATTCTTTAGCTTTAAGTCCAGCATTTATAATAGAAGGTAATGGACAAAATGAACATTTGCCTAAACATTTTATATTTTAAAAACTTTTTAATTTTTTTATATATTTTTTTTTAGATTACAATTGGACTTCGGGTGAATACTCCACCTGGTCCGAATCCACTTGGAGTTCTTTAAGTTCTCGTTTATTTTTACGTCCTTCACGTATTCATGAAATTGTAACATTAACCATTGGTTTTGTGGTGTTAATCTTTTCGTTTTGTTTGGTTTATATTATAAGTACAAGATCAGAAGTTCTATTCGAAGATCCTGGACCGAATGCTAGTACTGATGCGTAAGATTTATATGAATTATATTTTATGATTTTTATCTTTACTAATATTTATTTTTTTAGAATATTTGGTTTGGAAACTTAATTTATTTTGTTTAAAAATTAAAAGATTTAAAAAAAGTTTTATATTTTTGCAAATACCTTTTGAATTGAAACTTTAAAGGGAATTGAAGACTCAAGCAATGATTTAGGAAGCTTGATTCTTTAAAGCTTTTAAGAAGATCAGTTAATTTTAAGGATTAATAAAAATATACTTTCAATTTTGTTTTGGGCCCAACTTTATTACATTTTCAAATTTCGAACTTAAATATTTTGAATGGAATTTTAAAATTTTTATGAATTTTAAAGTATTTTCAAAGAAGTTTCAGTATATATGCTCTTTGAGTTATGTTCGAAAATTTCAAAAGCTTAAAAAAGTCTTTTAAAGCTTATTTTTGGATTTCAAAAGGCTAAGAAAGCTTCTATAATCCGAAAAGGTCAAGTTCTTTTAAAATCTTGCTAAACTATTGCTGTTTACAGAAATTTTGGTTTAAGGGTGATTAAAAATTTATTAAAAATTTATATTTTTGTGTATTTTTACTAAGCTACTAATAAATTTATATGTGTATTTCTAAACACTGCCTAATCAATTAATCATAAATTTGTTTTAACAAACAAATATTTAAACTTTATAAAGCACAGCTGTAGTAATTAAAAAAGTATTTAGACATTGCTTTATTTTCTTTAACAGATTACCTTAGCTAGTATATAAAATTTTATTTTAATTAAACGTTATTTATTTCCTGTTTAACTTAATTTTTTTTTAAATTTATGTCTAAAATGTTTATAATTTTTTATAGGTTAACCCCACCTACGGCTTGTTAATGCCTTAAACAATTAAAGAACACAATACACACTGCACTACAACAACAACAACTACTACTACTAAGCAAAACTTTAATTATAATTTTTTTTATAGCAATACTTATTATAACAAAAAAAATTATTGAGCTAAAGTTTTTATTTTTATTACAAATACATTTGTTTTTTACTTAAAGCGAATAATTGTTTTTGTTTAATACACAAAGTTTAAAGAAAATTTTGAGAATTTTGATCAAAAGAAACTGTGTCTAACATTAACTGATTTAGTATTTCCTAAAAACATTCAGATTTATTTACATTATTTATCAAATTTCTTTGTGTATTAAATTCCTCCCTCTCTCACATGACAATTGGTATTGATTTTATTTTATTGAAATTTCTTGAAATCACTGAAAAGTTAATTATTTCACTTTGTTTTCGTTTATCTCACTCACATACAATCCATCCTATTTGATATTTTAATAATAATTATTTTTTTTTTTTTATAAACTAAACTTCTATAATAATAAGAGTATTTGAAAAACTATTCAATCTATTTAATTAAATTTTAAAAGATGATCATCTTTGATCTGAAAAATTAAACTCTACAAACTACTCTTTAAACTATAGTGTCGACGTTTGACAAAGATAACAGTCAACTATAGTCTAGATCATAGACTAGTATATAGACCATACTATAGACTACACTATAGTCAATACATAGACTAGACTTAGGCTGTAGACTAGACTATAAACTTTACTATAGACTTGACTATAGACTATACTAAGACTATACTGCAGACTATACTATAGACTAGATTGTAGACTAGACTTGAGTATTGACTAGACTATAGACTTCATATAGAGTAGACTGTGGACTTGACTATAGAGTAGACCATAGTCTATAGAGCAGGCATTAGAGTAGATAATAGACTAGACTGTAGACTTGACTATGAACTAGACTACAGACACTGTAGACTCCAGTGTATTCTACACTGTAGAGTAGATTAGACAGTAGACTAGACTATAGATTAGACTAGACTACAGACACTGTAGACTCCAGTGTATTCTACACTGTAGAGTAGATTAGACAGTAGACTAGACTATAGATTAGACTATAGGCTATGCTATCGACTTGACTATAGTCTAGTCTATTATCTAGTCAATAGTGTAGAGTAGTCTACACTAGAATATGGATTAGACAATAGACTGTACTATAGACTAGACTATAGGCTAGACTATTGACTAGAGTGTAGACTAGACTAGACCAGAGACTAGAGTATAGACTAGACTATAGACTAGAGTATAGACTAGACTATAGACTAGACTATAGACTAGACTAGACTAGACTATAGACTAGACTATAGACTAGACTATAGACTAGACAATAGACTAGACTATAGACTAGACTATAGACTAGACTGTAGACTAGACTATAGACTAGACTATAGACTAGACTATAGACTAGACTATAGACTCGACTATAGACTAGACTATAGAATAGACTATAGAATAGACTATAGACTAGACTATAGACTAGACTATAGACTAGACTATTGACTAGACTATAGACTAGACTGCATTTTAAAATAACAAACACAAAATTTGCCTAAAACAAATTGTCTAATTGTCAAATAAAAGAATTCAATATTTATGCGACATTAAACAATAAAAAATTATAGTCTAGTCTATACTCTAATCTATAGTCTAGTCTATACTCTAGTCTATAGTCTAGTCTATACTCTAGTCTATAGTCTAGCCTATAGTCTAGTCTATAGTACAGTCTATTGTCTAATCCATATTCTAGTGTAGACTAGATAATAGACTAGACTATAGACTAGACTATAGACTAGACTATAGACTAGACTATAGACTAGACTATAGACTAGACTATAGACTAGACTATAGACTAGACTATAGACTAGACTATAGACTAGACTATAGACTTGACTATAGACTAGACTATAGACTAGACTATAGACTAGACTATAGACTAGACTATAGACTAGACTATAGACTAGACTATAGACTAGACTATAGACTAGACTATAGACTAGACTATAGACTAGACTATAGACTAGACTATAGACTAGACTATAGACTAGACTATAGACTAGACTATAGACTAGACTATAGACTAGACTATAGACTAGACTATAGACTAGACTATAGACTAGACTATAGACTAGACTATAGACTCGACTATAGACTAGACTATAGAATAGACTATAGAATAGACTATAGACTAGACTATAGACTAGACTATAGACTAGACTATTGACTAGACTATAGACTAGACTGCATTTTAAAATAACAAACACAAAATTTGCCTAAAACAAATTGTCTAATTGTCAAATAAAAGAATTCAATATTTATGCGACATTAAACAATAAAAATTATAGTCTAGTCTATACTCTAATCTATAGTCTAGTCTATACTCTAGTCTATAGTCTAGTCTATACTCTAGTCTATAGTCTAGCCTATAGTCTAGTCTATAGTACAGTCTATTGTCTAATCCATATTCTAGTGTAGACTAGATAATAGACTAGACTATAGACTAGACTATAGACTAGACTATAGACTAGACTATAGACTAGACTATAGACTAGACTATAGACTAGACTATAGACTAGACTATAGACTAGACTATAGACTAGACTATAGACTAGACTATAGACTAGACTATAGACTAGACTATAGACTAGACTATAGACTAGACTATAGACTAGACTATAGACTAGACTATAGACTAGACTATAGACTAGACTATAGACTAGACTATAGACTAGACTATAGACTAGACTATAGACTAGACTATAGACTAGACTATAGACTAGATAGACTAGAATATAGACTAGACTTAGACTAGGACTATAGCTAGACTATAGTCTAGACTATTGACTAGACTAGACTATAGACTAGACTAAAACTATAGACTAGAGTGGACTATAGACTAGACTGGACTATAGACTATACTATAGACCAGACTATAGACTAGACTAGACTAAAGACTAGACTAAGACTAGACTAAAGACTAGACTAAAGACTATACTAAAGACTTGACTATAGACTAGACGTTGGGTTATAGACTAAACTATATACTACAGATTAGACTACAGTTTAAAGGGTGTATAAAATCGGATAAAATGCAAAAACAATTTATTGCGGTTGAATAGTTTTTAAAAAATGTTGTATTCGTAAATGTAATTACATTATAATACTGCAACGTAATAAGAAACTTTTGGCAACAGTACTCTAAGGTCTAAGGTTTTTAACAGAAGATATTTGATTAAAAATTTTGCTAATTTTTATATATTCAAGAAGTTGCAGATGCTAAATACGAATGTTTACGAATACTACTTTAAATAATAATATTTAAACAAAATTATTTATAAAACAAGCTAAAAAAAAAGACATTTTTCTATTAGACATTATATAAAAACAACATTTAAATATATTTTGTTATAATTGTATTATAGTAAAACAAATAACTAAAATGTATAATTAATACATAAATCATAATTTTACAAATTTTTTGTTCAACTCAATTAATTAATTTGTAAATATAGACATTATTTATTAAGAAAGTTTTATGGCAAAAATTATTATTAATATTTTTTTTTAATTAATTAAATGTTATACAAAAAAATATAAAAATGAGAAAAACAAATTAAAAATTGTAGAACACAGCATTTAGTATTTATTATAAACAGCAGGAATAAAAGAATTAAATATTAAAACACATTTATTTTTTAAATTTTTTGCATATGTATCTATTGAAAAAAAAAAACAAACAAAATTTATAATTATTAAAACAACAATAAATGTATTTTATACACCCAATTATAAAAGTCTTTTTAAAATAACAAACACAAAATTTGCCTAAAACAAATTGTCTAATTGTCAAATAAAAGAATTCAATATTTATGCGACATTAAACAATAAAAAATTATACTAAAATAACAACAATTTATTAATTAATAATATGTAACTATAGAACTATGTATGTATTCAAATACAATTTAACTCTTTTTTTATATATAAAAAAAATAAACAATTCAATAAACTGTAACAATAATTTAGAAAAGCCAAATAAAAAAAGATACGTAAACTCAAACGAAAATTAAAAAGTATTTTTGTTTTCTTTATATATATTTAAATTAAATACAGACAAAACGTGTGAGAAATTATTGACAAATTAAGATAAATATTTGTAGAGCATTGGGGGAGTTATTAAAGGAGATTAAAAAATTGAAATTAAATAAAAAATTAAAAAAAAAAAAATATTTTGTTAATGAAATTAATTATTAAAATTGCATGAACTGAAATCTATAAGAAATACTTTCTGAAATATGATATAAATAATTTTTTGATATCGGTCCTTAAATATATAAATTTGTAATGAAATCTTGCATAAAACGTTTCACTCCGATGCCCTTTCGATATTAAAGGAGATTAAAAAATTGAAATTAAATAAAAAATTAAAAAAAAAATATTTTGTTAATGAAATTGCTTAATTATTAAAATTGCATGAACAGAAATCTATAAGAAATACTTTCTGAAATATGATATAAATAATTTTTTGGTATCGGTCCTTAAATATATAAATTTGTAATGAAATCTTGCATAAAACGTTTCACTCCGAAGCCCTTTTCGATTGTATGGGGGATAGGAGATATAATAGACGGATTTAAACCATTTGGAAAAGAATTTGTCCTTGTGTCAAGAGAAGAGAATGTGTACATACAGACGAACATATTCTGATCGACTCAGAAGTTGATTCTGAGATGATTGGTATACTTTAAGCTGGATGTAGAGCTAATATTTTTAGGTGTTATAAACATCTATTACCCAACCTCCCCGTTCCCGACGACCCGAGTCATACTCGGACAAAGATTGTCAACCTAGCGACAGCTGTATCAACCGAAAGAATTTTCCCCAGGAAAGAACTATCGGCCACAGTTACAACAACAACAACAACCCACCCTCCCCACTATAGTTATGTAGTTTAAAACTAATTAATTAAAAAAAAAAACGAAAATATAAGATTCAGATTTAACTTTTCTTATAAAAACAAAATAATTTCTAACCCACAGTACTTTTATAAACACTTTACAACACTAATATTTACTCTTCAAATTCCCTACACTTACCAACACTAAAATTTATGCAAACAATTATCAACTATTGTTTTGTTTTTGTTTTGCACTTTTAATTCCAGACAGAATTACTAATGAAAAATCATGACTGCTCTAGGAAAAACTAAATAAATTTCCAAAAATAATGCAAAAATTTACGGAAAAGGTGCACAGTGAACGGGAAAAACCAGAAGTGGTGTGGATTAAACGTGAAGATTTGGAAGAGCCTGCCGACAAAACGGAAACGGAAGTTAGGCGAGGTAAACAAATACCCATTGTTTATAGTAAACAATATGGAGTAAATTTTGCTAAATTGGAAAAACTACATCCGTTTGATGCCCAAAAAGGCAAGAATATAGCCAAGGTAGGTATTTAAATGCTATAAAAACAGATTTTTATATTTAAATTTATAAATCTATGGCAGATTTTATTGGAAACCCAGGTTATAAAGGGTAGATTCTATGAACCTGAGGAAATTACACACGAAGAACTATTAAAGGTACACAAACTGAAATATTTAAATAGTTTAAAATGGAGTTTGAATGTGGCCAAAATAGCGGAAATACCGATTTTATTATTTGTACCCAATTGTTGTGTCCAGCGGGGCTATTTGAAACCCATGCGTTTTCAAACTGCAGGCTCTATAATGGCAGGCAAATTGGCTTTACAATACGGTTGGTCTATTAATTTGGGTGGTGGTTTTCATCATTGTTGTTCCTATAAAGGTGGAGGTTTTTGTCCTTATGCCGATATTACTCTAATGATACAACGCATTTTCGCAGAGGAACGTTATATAGAACAGATTATGATTGTAGATTTAGATGCACATCAGGGCAATGGCCATGAACGAGACTTTATGAATAATGCTTATGTTTATATATTGGATATGTATAATTTTCGTATATATCCCAAGGATCATGAGGCTAAACTGGCCATACGTTATGCCGTGGAATTGCAGCCAAGAACAAATAATCGAGAGTATTTGAGAAAGCTGAGAAAGTAAAGAATATTGTTTTACAATAATTAAATAATTTACACTTAAATGTCTTTATTTCAGAGGTTTAAATTATGCCCTTGAGGAGTTTCATCCCCAACTAGTGGTTTATAATGCTGGTACAGATATTTTAGAGGGAGATCCTTTGGGCTATTTGTCCATAACACCAGAGGTATTTACATATTGTATATTTTGTATGAAATCGTTATTTCTTATGAAACATTTTTAGGGCGTCATCGAACGTGATGAATTTGTTTTTGCCACTTGTCGTTCGCGCAATATACCCATTGTCATGCTTTTAAGTGGTGGCTATTTGAAGGCCTCCGCCAAAGTTATAGCTGATTCTATTTTGAATTTAAAACAAAAAGGTTTGTTGCATTAAAGGAAAACGTTTTGGGAAGTTTATTATTTAATGTCCTTGTAAAGGAATTGTTTTAAGAATGTTTGTACCTAAAATTGAAAATTGTGTACCTAAAAGGAATTGTCTGAAATTTAAAAATAAAAAAAACTTTGTCTTCTAATAAAATCGTAGAAAATGGAAACAAAAATATAGTATATGTATAAAAATGCCTAACGTTTTCTTTTCAATAGACTAGACAATATGTGTGATTCCGTAATATTCTGTTTTTCCAATTTTAGTCAAAAACATCTTAAGAAACATATATTATTCAAAAAACAACGAAATATCTTGAAATTTGAGTACGGGAATGATTTACTATAAACACTTGCAATCCACACGAGTACAGGAATATACATATGTACATTAGGGCGGCACCGTCTCTATGAAGAAAAATTAAGGTACTTGTGTTTACATCAAAAATGAAAACTCTATTTAATGATATCATTTATGAAAATTTGTGTTCTGGGGTTAATATATGGTGAGCTGGGTTAAAATATAAAGTATATGTATGTATATCATGTGAAAGGCTTTTGGACTTTTAAAAACGTTTCATATGATACCATTATTGCGTATAGTTGCTAGAAATGACATTAGAAACTTCCATTTTGGGGCCTCCCTAATGTACTTAGAGCAGTCGATAAACTTCTCAATAGATTTGTCCACAGAATTGTACATAGACTAATCAATATACTAGTGTATATAGTGGTAAATTATTTCATAGATTAATAGACTAATTAATAGAACCTGCATAGACTTACATACTCCATAGGTTAGTCAGAAAACTAGTCAATAGATAAAAACTCTGAAAAGTATTTTAGTTCCTTTTTGTTAGTTGAATTTTCCACGCTTGTCTTCAAAAATATTATCTAAAACATCATTAAGTAGACGCCTTAGACACCCCTGCGCCATTAATTCAAAAACATTATCTAAAATATCATTAAGTATACGCCATAGACAACCCTGCGCCATTATTTATTATAGGCTTAAAATCAAACACCCCTTAAAATAAAAATCATACCGCATTCTTATCACCGGCACTGCATTGTTTACAAATGATTTTCAAAACGTTTTCCAACACTTTTCCCACTATAAAATATTTGCACAAACAGACAAACAAACTAAACCAAACAGCTGTCATATCGATTTGGAATAACCTGACATTTGACAAACACACACACACAGCCGCCACAAGTAGACAACAGACAAACACTGCTATTTTGCATTCATTTATTATTTTTGTTTTTACAATTGCTTAAACAAAACAAAACAATAACAAAAAGCCAAACAAACAAATAAAAAACAAAACACCCGCAATAATAAAGTCATAAAAAGACGTTAGAATAAAACAAAAATCATATAAAAATTATTAAAACCAAAAGATCTACCTCATTTTTAGTAAAATTATTAATTAAAACAGTACAAAAGAAAAATCAGTGAAATCTACAAAAGAAACGTCAAAGTAAAAATTTACCATCAAAACGACACAACAAGAAAAGAAAAGCCAATGAAAAATTTGGAAAAATTTGCGCGGAAATTGTTATGGAAATTATTTGCCAATATCTAAATAAAATGTAACGTATTTAAATTAAGTGTATGAGTGAGTGAGTGATGATAAAAAGAGAGAGTAACTGAACGATATATGATTTATTTCTGTGATGTATTAATTAAAACGTCATATTGTTAATGTTGTTGGGGTAGGAGTTCATTGTTTATATCAGTAGTTTATATGTGTGTGTGTGTATGTTGGGCCTTTAAGTATATGAATGAGTAAGTAGCTGGGTGTGAGAGAATTTATTTTATTTTTATTATTATTTTTTGTTATCATTAAATTTAACGGTTATTGTAACTACTGATTAATTAAATATTGGTTGGGGGTAAATATGTATATTACTTTTAAAGTTTCCAAATGAAAAATATAAGTCATTTAGATTAATAGCTGAGATAGTTTAATAAGTACAAAGTTTTCTATATATTTCCAACAAATGTTTGTTGTGTACAATTCCATTCACATTCTAACACGTTCCCAACTTTCTAGCCACTACTCTTAGCGTAATACAAGTGTGAATGTGTGTTCGAGTATGCAGTGACCTTGTATGTAACCTTTACTGTTGTTGGTTGTCGTTGTCGTCTATTTGGCTTGGAAAATAATTTGATTTAGCCAATATTAATTAAATTTTTCTAATGCAGCAGTTGAATGGCAAATTGTATGATATTGTCAATTGCAATGACTAAGATCTCGTGCAGCTATCAATTAATTTAAAAGTCAATGGTTTTGTTTGTTTATTTTATAATTTTAGTTAATTACAAATAGGCGGTTTAAGAAGTACATACATAAATAAGAAAATTAATAATAATTTAATTTAAAATGGCCATTACATTTTATACAATAAAAATATTTAAAGAAGTATCACCATCTCAGGGTGGCTCCTTTTGTATTGAAGAAAAATAAGGTATTCATGTTTCCATCGATAATTAGAGCTTGATTCATTTTAAGTTAACGTTTCTCAAAATTTTGGTCCAATATTTAGTGAATTAGATCAAAGGATAAAAATCATCAACTTCCATTTTGGGGCCACCCTAATCTATATACATATTTGGAAGGACTTGCCACTAAACCGGCTTTTTACCCATCAAGCATCCATCGTTAACAATAGAACTGAATTACTGAAAACACTGTTTAACAAATCATTTGTATATAAAAACCATCAAATGTGTTAAATTTCTCTCAGTGTCTTTTAATATTAAGTGTTAGTAATAGTTATACAATTAATCCATCCTACCGCAATAAAAATTGTACACACTTTTCTTAAAAACAAAACTTGATAACAAAAATTAAAAAGTATTATTTACCCTAAACACTTCTAGACATTTTACCGTAAATATAACTCAAAATAAAACAAACAGAATTTCCATAAATTCTTAAAACTTTGCCGCAATTTAAATTATCAAGATTTAAGTAATAAAAATAGTAGTAGTATTAAACAAATTTGAATTTATAAATTATTAACACTCGTACTAAGTGATTACGAGTATTTGTTTAAAGATTCGCTTTGAGAAAAAAGTGAAAAAAAAAATTTAAATATAAACTATGTTATGCTGACTGATACTGATAACTAACTAGTAAAGAGATTTGTTTATTCTACCGGATCTTGTTTTGGGGGAGGGGAAGGCGTATAAATAAATGATACTTGTTTAAACACCCACAACAAATTTTGCCTACCTGCCTGCAAACACGACTAGAGTGGAACAATAATTTGTCACCTACAATTGTGTCGTCATTAGTGTACATGCTATGTGGTGGCAGCAATAAATAAATAGAGAAACAAGTGGAAATACAAATCACAACATCATAAATGAATTTAAAATCTTGTGGGTACATTTTATTAGTTGAAATTCAATTGAGTGTAAGTATGTGTCGTTGTTTGTGATGCCACAAGATGCGCATGCCGGTAAAAAAAACGCATAGGGGCTGCATAAATCAGGGTTACAGTGAATTTGAAAGGGCGCTACTTTTTTAATAATTATTATTAAACTCAACGTTCGTAAGCTTTAAATCAGTATTAAATTTATTCGAAATTTTTCATAAAATATTTAAAATCAAATTTTATTCGCAAGTCAAGTTTCTCTTTAGGTTTGATAACACAGACAAACAAAATTTGGAAATGGTCGGAACGCGGAGACCAAATGATGCTTTTTTAAAGAATCCGGTCAAATCCGGCCGGAATTTCTCATCTTAAAAAAATTTGTTTTTCCAATCTCAAAGACCCATTATTTCTAAAATTTGATATGATGGAGCAATGAAGTTTTCGTTAGTTAGTATTTAGTTAGTTAGTTAGCTAGCTAGTTAGTTAGTTAGTTAGTTAGTTAGTAAGTTAGTTAGTTAGTAGTTAGTTAGTTAGTTAGTTAGTTAGTTAGTAGTAGTTAGTAGTAGTTAGTTAGTTAGTTAGTTAGTTAGTTAGTTAGTTAGTTAGTTAGTTAGTTAGTTAGTTAGTTAGTTAGTTAGTTAGTTAGTTAGTTAGTTAGTTAGTTAGTTAGTTAGTTAGTTAGTAGTTAGTTAGTTAGTTAGTTAGTTAGTTAGTTAGTAGTAGTTAGTTAGTTAGTTAGTTAGTTAGTAGTTAGTTAGTTAGTTAGTTAGTTAGTTAGTAGTTAGTTAGTTAGTAGTTAGTTAGTTAGTTAGTTAGTAGTTAGTTAGTTAGTTAGTTAGTTAGTTAGTTAGTTAGTAGTTAGTTAGTTAGTTAGTTAGTTAGTTAGTTAGTTAGTTAGTTAGTTAGTTAGTTAGTAGTTAGTTAGTTAGTAGTTAGTTAGTTAGTTAGTTAGTTAGTTAGTTAGTTAGTTAGTTAGTTAGTTAGTTGTTAGTTAGTTAGTTAGTTAGTTAGTAGTTAGTTAGTTAGTTAGTTAGTTAGTTAGTTAGTTAGTTAGTTAGTTAGTTAGTTAGTTAGTTAGTTAGTTAGTTAGTTAGTTAGTTAGTTAGTTAGTTAGTTAGTTAGTTAGTTAGTTAGTTAGTTAGTTAGTTAGTTAGTTAGTTAGTTAGTTAGTTAGTTAGTTAGTTAGTTAGTTAGTTAGTTAGTTAGTTAGTTAGTAGTTAGTTAGTTAGTTAGTTAGTTAGTTAGTTAGTTAGTTAGTTAGTTAGTTAGTTAGTTAGTTAGTTAGTTAGTTAGTTAGTTAGTTAGTTAGTTAGTAGTAGTTAGTTAGTTAGTTATTAGTTAGTTAGTAGTATTCGGTCAAGTAGTCCACATATTGCGTATGTCTAGTTCACCTACTACTCTGCGACTTAGCTACCTTGTGGACTAGTACATCGAATATCTATGCATCACTTTATAGAATAGTCTATTGATGTGTCAATATACTAACCAAAAGACTAACCATGGTGCAGACTATTGCTAGACTGCGGACACGACTTATAAAATGTTTGCCTAGTTTTATGGTATAGTGCCTTGTAGGTGCATATTCCTTGGCCCACAATGATAACCTACTTAGTATTTTTTGGAATAAGTAGCTTCCACATTCAACAACATTATCATAAACTCTTAAACCGTTTGCACTTCTAAATAAAATAAATGTCATTGTAAATCAAAAATCTTTCTAAATAAAGGACAAAACCATTGAACAAACTAAATTGCAACTGTCAAACAGAAACTAGGGATCAATTAAAAACAAATAGAAACAGAAGGAGACCAATTTCTATTGCTATTAACAAGTGCAAACAATAAAAAAAAAAACAAATTAAATAAAAAAAGTATGTAATAAACTTAAAAAAGCAAAGAAATGATGATAATGATACTCTCGTAACAAGATGCAAATAGATAAAAATGTAAAAAATAAAATAAAAAAAATAAACATTTGGCTTTTGTTGTTCTGAGATGCAGTCAGTCCGTCAGTTAGTGTTATAAAGTTGGCTGTTTGTTAACAATCTGTTGCCACCATTGCATTCTGCGTTTGTAATAAAAAAAAATACATACAACACAAAGTATCACAATTTGAAAAATCAGTTGGTATCTACTAGATGCTACATTTTGGCCTCTATTGTATTTCTGTACTATTTATTGTTCATTTCAGTTCAGTTAAAATTGATAACAACAAAAATACAGACGACTGCTACTGCTGCAAGTGCAACAACTAAATATTTATTGTATGTATTTGCAACTGCACTTCTCAATTAAATTCTATTTTTTTAGTTTTAGTTTTTACAATTATTTTATATTCTATTTGATTTTTGTATACGGTTTAGAAAGTTTTTCTATTCTTTTTTTTCTATCCAACTAACAATTTTCATTCGTATTTAAAAATAACGTTCTTTTCATTTAAACAACTTAGTTTTCGAGTGGGTACCCAAACAGCAAGAACAACAAAAATTGTTAAACCAACTTCAACTCAAATAAAAACTCAAGATTACCAGCAGCAACAGCAAAATCTAAACCATCACCACCATCCCAAATACAAGATGCCCATTAATAAAGTTGTAATTTTACGTCACGGTGAGAGCGAATTTAACAAATTGAATTTATTTTGCGGTTGGCATGATGCACCACTAACGGAAAAAGGTAAAATAATTAAAAATTCTCACACAAACACACTTTAATTACTCACACGTGCTTATTTGATTTGGATTTTTTTTTTTTTGGAAGGTCTTGAAGATGCTTTAAAAATCGCCGTAACCGGTCTACGTCTTCATAATATGCAATTTGATTTCATTTACACTTCCCTGCTGCAAAGGGCCCATCAGACTGTCAATGTGATTAAAAGGAAATGAATTATGAGAATGTTCCCGTCATTTATGATTGGCGTTTGAATGAACGTCATTATGGTAATTTAACTGGATTTAATAAACGTCAAGTGGCCAATAAATATGGTGAAGAAAAGGTAAGTGAAATTTTGACAGACAAGTGTTTTTTATATTTCTATTCAATTTCATATAGAACTTACTACTTTGTAGACAATTTTCTATTAATTTTGTCTCGTCTAGTTTTCTATTAGACAAGGTTTCGATCAAACAGTTTTCTATAAAACAGTGCGTTTTCTAGACAGTTTTCTATATAAATTTTTCTAAACAGTTTCCTAAAGAATCTATTCTTTTCTATGAGTTTCCTTCAAAACAGAGTATATTTGAAGCAGTTTCCTATAGAACAGCGTTTTTGTAGACAGTTTTCTGTAGAACTGCTTGTACAAAATAAATTAGAAAACCTTTTCAAAACATTTTCCTACATAACAGTGTAATTTATAGAACATTGTATTTTCTAAACAGTTTTCTAAAGAACAGTGTTTTACTAGACTATTTTCCACAGAACAGTGTATTTTCTATACAGTTTTATAGAAAACTGAGTCTTTTCTATACAAATTTCCATAGAACAGTGTTTTTATATCAGTTTACTGTAAAACTGACGTTTCCAGACAATTAGGGGAATTGTTTTATATTTGAGATTAAAAAAATATATCAATAATTTTAATTTTCTAAAGAAAATCGATCGATAACTTGAATTTTCATAGAAAGACTAGACTATAGACTAGACTATAGACTAGATTATAGACTAGATTATAGACTAGACTATAGACTAGACTATAGACTAGACTATAGACTAGACTATAGACTAGACTATAGACTAGACTATAGACTAGACTATAGACTAGACTATAGACTAGACTATAGACTAGACTATAGACTAGACTATAGACTAGACTATAGACTAGACTATAGACTAGACTATAGACTAGACTATAGACTAGACTATAGACTAGACTATAGACTAGACTATAGACTAGACTATAGACTAGACTATAGACTAGACTATAGACTAGACTATAGACTAGACTATAGACTAGACTATAGACTAGACTATAGACTAGACTATAGACTAGACTATAGACTAGACTATAGACTAGACTATAGACTAGACTATAGACTAGACTATAGACTAGACTATAGACTAGACTATAGACTAGACTATAGACTAGACTATAGACTAGACTATAGACTAGACTATAGACTAGACTATAGACTAGACTATAGACTAGACTATAGACTAGACTATAGACTAGACTATAGACTAGACTATAGACTAGACTATAACTAGACTATAGACTAGACTATAGACTAGACTATAGACTAGACTATAGACTAGACTAGATAGACTAGACTACTATACTACTAGACTATAGACTAGACTAAGACTATAGAGACTAGACTATAGACTAGACTATAGACTAGACTATAGACTAGACTATAGACTAGACTATAGACTAGACTATACTATAGACTATAGACTAGACTAGACTAGACTAGACTAGACTATAGACTAGACTAGACTATAGACTAGACTAGACTATAGACTAGACTAGACTATAGACTAGACTAGACTATAGACTAGACTAGACTATAGACTAGACTAGACTAGACTAGACTAGACTAGACTAGACTAGACTAGACTAGACTATAGACTAGACTATAGACTAGACTAGACTATAGACTATAGACTAGACTAGACTAGACTATAGACTAGACTAGACTATACTAGACTATAGACTAGACTAGACTAGACTATAGACTAGAACTAGACTAGACTAGACTAGACTAGACTAGACTAGACTAGACTAGACTAGACTAGACTAGACTAGACTAGACTAGACTAGACTAGACTATAGACTAGACTATAGACCAGACTATAGACTAGACTAGACTAGACTATAGACTAGACTATAGACTAGACTATGACTAGACTATAGACTAGACTATAGACTAGACTATAGACTAGACTATAGACTAGACTATAGACTAGACTATAGACTAGACTATAGACTAGACTATAGACTAGACTATAGACTAGACTATAGACTAGACTATAGACTAGACTATAGACTAGACTATAGACTAGACTATAGACTAGACTATAGACTAGACTATAGACTAGACTATAGACTAGACTATAGACTAGACTATAGACTAGGCTATAGACTAGACTATAGACTAGACTATAGACTAGACTATAGACTAGACTATAGACTAGACTATAGACTAGACTATAGACTAGACTATAGACTAGACTATACTAGACTATAGACTAGACTATAGACTAGACTATAGACTAGACTATAGACTAGACTATAGACTAGACTATAGACTAGACTATAGACTAGACTATAGACTAGACTATAGACTAGACTATAGACTAGACTATAGACTAGACTATAGACTAGACTATAGACTAGACTATAGACTAGACTAGACTAGACTATAGACTAGACATAGACTAGACTATAGACTAGACTATAGACTAGACTATAGACTAGACTATAGACTAGACTATAGACTAGACTATAGACTAGACTATAGACTAGACTATAGACTAGACTATAGACTAGACTATAGACTAGACTATAGACTAGACTATAGACTAGACTATAGACTAGACTATAGACTAGACTATAGACTAGACTATAGACTAGACTATAGACTAGACTATAGACTAGACTATAGACTAGACTATAGACTAGACTATAGACTAGACTAGACTAGACTAGACTATAGACTAGACTATAGACTAGACTAGAGACTAGACTATAGACTAGACTATAGACTAGACTATAGACTAGACTATAGACTAGACTATAGACTAGACTATAGACTAGACTATAGACTAGACTATAGACTAGACTATAGACTAGACTATAGACTAGACTATAGACTAGACTATAGACTAGACTACTAGATAGACTAGACTAGACTATAGACTAGACTATAGACTAGACTATAGACTAGACTATAGACTAGACTATAGACTAGACTATAGACTAGACTATAGACTAGACTATAGACTAGACTATAGACTAGACTATAGACTAGACTATAGACTAGACTATAGACTAGACTATAGACTAGACTATAGACTAGACTATAGACTAGACTATAGACTAGACTATAGACTAGACTAGACTATAGACTATAGACTAGACTAGACTAGACTAGACTACTATAGACTAATATAGACTAGACTATAGACTAGACTAGACTATAGACTAGACTAGACTATAGACTAGACTAGACTATAGACTAGACTAGACTATAGACTAGACTAGACTAGACTAGACTAGACTAGACTAGACTAGACTAGACTAGACTAGACTAGACTAGACTAGACTATAGACTAGACTATAGACTAGACTAGACTATAGACTAGACTAGACTAGACTATAGACTAGACTAGACTATAGACTAGACTATAGACTAGACTAGACTAGACTATAGACTAGACTAGACTAGACTAGACTAGACTAGACTAGATAGACTAGACTAGACTAGACTAGACTAGACTAGACTAGACTAGACTAGACTAGACTAGACTAGACTAGACTAGACTAGACTAGACTATAGACTAGACTATAGACCAGACTATAGACTAGACTAGACTAGACTATAGACTAGACTATAGACTAGACTATAGACTAGACTATAGACTAGACTATAGACTAGACTATAGTAGATAGACTAGACTATAGACTATAGACTAGACTATAGACTAGACTATAGACTAGACTATAGACTAGACTATAGACTAGACTATAGACTAGACTATAGACTAGACTATAGACTAGACTATAGACTAGACTATAGACTAGACTATAGACTAGACTATAGACTAGACTATAGACTAGACTATAGACTAGACTATAGACTAGGCTATAGACTAGACTATAGACTAGACTATAGACTAGACTATAGACTAGACTATAGTCTAGACTATAGACTAGACTATAGACTAGACTATAGACTAGACTATAGACTAGACTATAGACTAGACTATAGACTAGACTATAGACTAGACTATAGACTAGACTATAGACTAGACTATAGACTAGACTATAGACTAGACTATAGACTAGACTATAGACTAGACTATAGACTAGACTATAGACTAGACTATAGACTAGACTATAGACTAGACTATAGACTAGACTATAGACTAGACTATAGACTAGACTATAGACTCTATATACTAGACTATAGACTAGACTATAGACTAGACTATAGACTAGACTATAGACTAGACTATAGACTAGACTATAGACTAGACTATAGACTAGACTATAGACTAGACTATAGACTAGACTATAGACTAGACTATAGACTAGACTATAGACTAGACTATAGACTAGACTATAGACTAGACTATAGACTAGACTATAGACTAGACTATAGACTAGACTATAGACTAGACTATAGACTAGACTATAGACTAGACTATAGACTAGACTATAGACTAGACTATAGACTAGACTATAGACTAGACTATAGACTAGACTATAGACTAGACTATAGACTAGACTATAGACTAGACTATAGACTAGACTATAGACTAGACTATAGACTAGACTATAGACTAGACTATAGACTAGACTATAGACTAGACTATAGACTAGACTATAGACTAGACTATAGACTAGACTATAGACTAGACTATAGACTAGACTATAGACTAGACTATAGACTAGACTATAGACTAGACTATAGACTAGACTATAGACTAGACTATAGACTAGACTATAGACTAGACTATAGACTAGACTATAGACTAGACTATAGACTAGACTATAGACTAGACTATAGACTAGACTATAGACTAGACTATAGACTAGACTATAGACTAGACTATAGACTAGACTATAGACTAGACTATAGACTAGACTATAGACTAGACTATAGACTAGACTATAGACTAGACTATAGACTAGACTATAGACTAGACTATAGACTAGACTATAGACTAGACTATAGACTAGACTATAGACTAGACTATAGACTAGACTATAGACTAGACTATAGACTAGACTATAGACTAGACTATAGACTAGACTATAGACTAGACTATAGACTAGACTATAGACTAGACTATAGACTAGACTATAGACTAGACTATAGACTAGACTATAGACTAGACTATAGACTAGACTATAGACTAGACTATAGACTAGACTATAGACTAGACTATAGACTAGACTATAGACTAGACTATAGACTAGACTATAGACTAGACTATAGACTAGACTATAGACTAGACTATAGACTAGACTATAGACTAGACTATAGACTAGACTAGACTATAGACTAGACTATAGACTAGACTATAGACTAGACTATAGACTAGACTATAGACTAGACTATAGACTAGACTATAGACTAGACTATAGACTAGACTATAGACTAGACTATAGACTAGACTATAGACTAGACTATAGACTAGACTATAGACTAGACTATAGACTAGACTATAGACTAGACTATAGACTATACTATAGACTAGACTAAAGACTATACTATAGACTAGACTATAGACTAGACTATAGACTAGACTATAGACTAGACTATAGACTATACTATAGACTAGACTATAGCCTAGATTATAGACTAGACTATATACTAGAGTATATAGTCGTTCTTTTTCAGACAGTTTTCTAATAAGAACAGCGTCTCTAATAAGAATTTTTCTGATCAATATATATCTATTTTCCTATTTCACAGGTACAAATCTGGCGTCGCTCATTTGATGTCTTACCCCCACCGATAACACCCGACAATCCCTATTACGATAAAATACGCAACAATCCTAAATTTAAAGATATACCAAAAGACCAATTTCCCGATAATGAATCACTAAAAACGCTAATGGTACGCACAGTACCACTGTGGGAAAATGAAATAATGCCAAAAGTATTAAAGGGACAAAAAGTGCTGATAGTGGCTCATGGAACGGTAGTAAGAGCTCTAATGAAATATATAGAAGGTAAAGAAAACAAAAATTAAATCGATTTTCTAGACTAATTAGAAAAATTAACTTATTTTCTCTTTAGATATAAGCGATGAGGATATAATGAAATTAAATATTCCCAATAGTGTACCCTGTGTCTATCAATACGACATGGAATTGGGCATGCGTGTGGATAATGTCCAGTATTTGGCTGATGACGATTATGTAAAAACGGAAAGCGCCAAAGTAGCTTCTATAGGCAATTAAATGAAACACACAAATAGAAGTAATCTAATATCTACAATAATACCAACGGACTGATATTTTACAAAAAAAAACAATTGTTTCATAGTTTAGATTTGTATTTGAGAAAATTATGAGGAATTTATGAAATTCTGTTTGGGGGTTTTGTAATACAAATTTTAAATGCGCATAAAATGTAATTATCATTAGAGTGTTTAATCTTTTTTTTTGTAAATTTATTATAAATAAAATTAATTTATTGTATACAAGAACGTTGATTTAACTTAAATTTTCTAAAACCAAGTGTCCTTTCAAGACAATCTTCGAATTCACAATAGGTTTGTTTTCGAAACCAAAAACGAAACTGTTACGACATACAACAATTCAACAATACGATGCTGATAGTGAATTGGACATTAGACAGTTTTCTATAGAACAGTATTTGTCCTGTCAGTTTTTTATAAAACAGTACCTTTTCTAAACAGTTTTCCTCAATGTAGTAGACATATTTCTGTTCCAGACAGTTTTTTATAGAGCATTGTGTTTTCTAGACAGTTTTCTATAGAAAATTATTTGTCCTGTCAGTTTTCTAAAGAACAATGTCTTTTAGATCAGATTCTTTTGTTTTCTAAGTTTTATGGAAGAGTGTCTTATAGAAATTTTATATAGAACAGTATTTTATGAATAATTTTCTATAGAGAACATAGTCTTTTATAAAAAGTTTTATATAAAAAAGAAATTTTATATAGAACAGTCTTTTATGAATAATTTTCTATAGAGAACATAGTTTTTTATAAAAAGTTTTATATAAAACTGGGCAGTTTTCTATAAAACAGTCAGTATATAGATAGTTTTCTATAAAACTGTATATTTTCTAGTCAGTTTTTATAAGACGATATCTTTCTTGAACGTTTTATATAGAATGTATATATTCAGTCAGTTTTTTATAAAATAGTCTATATTCTAGGCAGTTTTTTTATAGTCATTGTTAGTCAATATTTTATGGAACAGTGTCTTTTCTGGATAGTTATCTATAAAATAGTCACTTTGTCTTTTCTGGATAGTTATCTCTAAAAGTCACTTTCTAGACAATTTTCTATATTTTTTCTAAACAGTTTTTATTAAATTATGTCTTTTTTTTTTGATAGTTTTATATAGAATGTATCTATCCAGTCAGTTTTCTATAGAACAGTATCTATTCTAGACAGTTTTTCATTCAATGATTTATGGAACAGTGTCTTTTCTGGACAGTTTTCTATAAAATAGTCACTTTCTAGACAATTTGCTACAAAACTGTATCTTTTCTAGATGTCTTGACAGTTTTCTATAGAACAGTATCTATCCAGTCAGTTATCTATAGAACAGTTTCTATTCTAAACACTTTTTTTATAGAACGGAGTCATTTCTGGTCAATGTTTTATGGAACAGTGTCTTTTCTGAACAGTTTTCTAAAAACTAGTCACTTTTTACACAATTTTCTATAAAACTTTATATTTTCTAGACAGTTTTTATTAAATTATGTCTTTTTTTGATAGTTTTATATAGAATGTATCTATCCAGTCAGTTTTCTATAGAACAGTATCTATTCTAGACAGCTTTTTATAGAACGAAGTCAATTCTAGTCAATGTATTATGGAACAGTATCTACTTTGTACAGTTTTATATAAAATAGTCAGTTTCTAGACAATTTTCTATAAAACTGTATCTTTTCTAGACAGTTTTTTAAAACCATGTTTTTCTTGACAGTTTTCTATAGAACCGTATCTTTTCTGGCAGTTTTCTATAGAACAGTGTATGGTCTATACAGTTTTTTATAGATCGGTGTCATTTCTAGTCAGTGTTTTATGGAACAGACTATTCTGGACAGTTTTCTATAAAACTGACAGTTATTTACGAAATGATTTATATGGTTTTCTATAGATCAGTATTTTCTAGACAGTTTCTTTTAGAATAGAGTCCTTATAGTCAGTGTTTTTTGGAGCTGTATCTTTCCTAGAAAGTTTTCTATAAAACAGTATTTTCTAGACAGTTTTCTATAAAACAGAAACAGTTTTCTATAGAACAGAAGCAGTTTTCTATAAACCAGAAACAGTTTTCTACAGAACAGTGTTTTTTCTAAAAAAAATGTCTATAGAATATTCTATTCTGGATCTATAAAACCGTGTCTTTTCCAGACAGTTTTTTGTAGAACAGATTTTTCTGTAGAATAGTTTCTAAAGAGAAATTTCAAATAAAGAACTATTATTCATAATGTCCTTGAAAACAATTTTAAATATCTAACAATCATTCGTTTGTTAGAAGTTTATTAATATTCCATGATTCATTCACTTAATAATGTAAAGCATTAAATAATTAATAATTCATTCATAAAAATTTCATTGAATTAAAAACTACAGTTGAATTAAACATATTAAACAACAAAAAATTCAACCCTCTATGAAACTTAAATATATCTTTCAGATAAAAATTAAACAGATGAAAGCAGAGAAAAAAACAGCTGGTGAAATATTCACACAAAACAGAATTGAAGCTAAATGTCAAGTTAAAAATGAAACTAAACAAAATATTTGAATATTTAATATTGAAAATAAACAATAACATCGGGAAGCAAACAGAGATACACACACACACACACCATTCAAACACACATCAATACGTAATATTCAAAAATCAAACAAACATTCGAAAATTAAAGAGTGCGCAGAGAGCACACAGAGTCAAATTGTATTACCGAGTGAGAAATGTATGAAAACCGATTTACGGTTTGTTTTCTTTATTTTATGATTTTTGTTAGTCTGACACAGGGGAGTAAACACCATTAAAAAAGAGAGTTTTCGGTGTCACACAGCGCCGCACAGCACACAGAGTGTTATAATTTAATTCGCAATAGAAAGGTGTATAAAAGTATCTGACAGATACACTTTCAGTTTGTTTAGTTAAGCCAAAGACAACGAACGGACGGATGCAAAACTACGGCTGACCGCGACAATGATTTGTTTGTTGTATGTTGTGCGGTACGTTTTCAAATTGTCTATACAGAAAGAAAAATCGTCAAACAAAAAAAATTTTATTATTTTTGCTGTTGTCTGAATTAAACGCGTAAACGATGGACAACTGTCGCAGCACGAACTAATAAATAAAATAAATATTCAGATATAAATAATGAGACAAAAAAAAAAATAACAACAAAACTATACTAAATGCAAATTTGTGTTGCCACCAATTTATGTTGAATAATTATTTAGGGGCTACTTTACTTACTGTCACAGCTGGTGTTATTATAATTGTTTGGTTATTTACCTGAAAAAAAATTAAAGAAAAAATGTGCAAAAAATTAGAAAATCTTTATGATTAAAGTTTAGAAAGTGAAATTTTCAAAACACATTTTGGATTTCTTGGCAACTAGACCCACTAAAATGATTTAATACATTCAAGATTGTACATATATGTATATATGTATGTATGCATATTTTTTCTCATATATGCATATATAAAGCTTTTATTATTAAGAAAAACTGTATTAATAAAATGTATTCAATATTTTACAACGATTTATCTACTTTTATTTTGAAAAGGTAAAAGTAAGAATCCAGTAAATCGTTGTTCAATTGTTAAAATGTGACTCTGAATAAGACTATTTATTATTAAACCAATATGGACATACGGAATCCAAATATTGGATAGGAAAAAGACCAGTATTAATCATATAGAGAGGGTCTAATCAAAAGTTTTTAGAACCATGAGTAGAGCTCCATGATATAACCTAGGTTAGGTTGATAGGGGAATGTATATTCCATAAAATTCGCCACTTCGGGTGAGAACCTTGAATGTAAAGTAACTCTGTATAAGATTATTTATTATTAAACCAATATGGACATACGGAATCCAAATATCGTATTGGGAAAATACCAATATTGAGGGTCTAATCAAAAGTTTTTAAAACCATGACTAGAGCTCCATGATATTAACTTGGTTAGGTTGATAGGGGGACGTATGTCCGTAGAAATAAATCTAGACCACTATCGGCCCTGTTGTGGGCTCTTTTTCATGGAAGAAAAATGTCTGTTGGTAAAAAAAAAGATTTGGATCTAACATCGACGAATTCCTGGCAGTGGTAAAGAAAGTGCTCCAGAGTTTCACTGTCCTCTCTACATGCCCTACATACCATCATACTAACTTTCTTCATTTTTTGAGGAGATTTCTACTCTTGCTCTCATTACATTTACCCCATAGGATCTTTGTATTCCAAGAGGTCTTAAGGGATTCTCTCATACATATTTTTGTAAATTTAGCCTTCATTGCGTCGAATGGTGTAACTCCCTTCCCATTAAGCTAATACATTCGCCCTTTTATTGCCGACTACCCCCGAGTGGCCTGGTACCCATATGATGTAAACCTTATCTCTAGAATAGTTTTCAGTTAAAGCTTATTACCTAATGTTGCCTGGTTGTCGCTTAATATGAGCCATATTTATTCTAGTCCAATTTACGCATTCCGTTATTGCTCGTACTTCTGTCTGTAAGCTTGTATTGAGATTAGGTAAACGGTGGTATATTGCTGTTTCTGAAACCCAGGCCCACTTTGTCCCCCAATTTAGAGCCATCCTTGCAGCAACGGATTCCTACGAGTATCTGCTTTTAGGACATTTTTGAGGCCCATTTCGAAAAAAATTGAGAAGCTTTTTTTTGACAAAATCTGAATTTGTAATCGCTGGTAGGGTACTCAGGACCCTTTCAAAAAATTTAGTTTTTTGTGTGTCATTTGAGACTTGAGCCTATATCAAATTCCCAAAAAATCTGTTCCTATGTAATTATCTGTATGGAATTATCGGGCATATTTCCTTTATTTATGGATGAATGGATTTTGCTTATTTTAAAATAGAAAACATCTCAAAAGCATGTCTGATAGAATTAATTAAGATTTGGATCCTGAATATATCTGGCGCTTAACTTTTACAATTCTGCAGTCTCGTGTCTTCTTTGCTCATAAGTACAATGATGACAATTGGCAAAGTAGGCTTTTCTACTTGGGGTGTCATAACAAGGGCCAGTACCAATTGGTCCATGAGCAAAGAAATCCTAATCGCTAACTTGAATCCATCCTTAAGTATAATGTATAATGATATTTTAGAGAAATGATTGTTTTAAACCGTTGGATTTAGGGGCATGACTTATCAGACTTAGATAGCTGAATAAGGGGGAATTTTTACTGCATTAAAGGTTACGGAAACAGCTTTGTACGTTTCATACATATGTACATATGTATATATATATGTATATCAATATCAATAATCCTTTTTCTTCAGTTCCTAAATTTCCAAAATTTTTTCCCAAAAAGGTGGCAACATTCTCCAACATAAACCCAACATCTTAATAGTAGTCGTGAAGAAGAAAAAATAACAAAAAAAATCACTTAAAAACAAAATCATTATTATTATTTACAGAGATATTACAGATGCAGATGTATAGCAACAACAGCAGCAGCAACATTAACAATAATAACAATAAAAGAAGAAGAAATTTACAACAACAACAAAAAACATTAGCAAATAAATAAGAGGTTGTGACAAAAACAAACCCAAAACTAAAAAAAATATATAAAAGAAACAACAACAACAACACAAAACCATAATAAAAATTTAAGTATCTCATAGATACTTCAACATACAAGATATTCATTCACTCATTCACTCGCGTACTCGGCACGGTACACACACTGCAGGCATGTGTGTACAAAGAAGGAACACAAGAATGTGCTTAAAATTATTTATAAATAAATAAATTTAAAAAAAATACACAACAACAACAAAACGAAAGAAAATTTCTAATAAGAATTAGAAGAAAAAAAAAATTATTTAAATAAATTTTTGTGGTGTTTTTGGTGAGCAATGATGAAAAGCAAAAAAAAAGTGAAATAAAAAAAATGAGTGAAAAATTTAGAATAAATAAATAAATAAATTACAAAAAAATGTATAGCAAACCAAAGAATAATAAATAAATAAATAATAAGTTTAAAGTAAAATAATTAAACTTAGTATGTGTATTAAGAAAAAGTAATTTAAAATAAAAATTTAAACAAAAGTTTATAAAAAAAAGTCTTAAAATAGAAAATAAATTAAGGCAATTTTTTTAAATATTAAATAAAATGTATGAAATTAAAAAAAAGCAAAAAAATTTCTTAGAAATTAAAACCAAATTACAAGAAAAAAATCTATTGTTCTGTGTTGTATACTCAAACCAACATAACCAACATCACCATCATCCATTCATAGTTCCATCCATCCTTTAAGTTGCAACATCAAAAGTGAAAAATCGATTTTATTTTCCTTTTTACTCGCTGAATGCGAATGTGAATGTGTCGGTGAGTGTGTTACTGTGTGTGTGTGTGTGTATTTTTCAATTTTATATCTCATTTTGGTGTATATTTTTCGGTTAACAAACGAACACACAACAACTACAACAACAATAAATTGCTTCTCTTCCTGTTCCTTTTTTAAAACCGACCGAACAACAACACACCATTACAAAAGAAAATCAACAACAGCAACATTTAATAACAACAACATTTAATAGCAACAAAATCAACAACTACAACAACATTAAGAAAATGTGTAATTTTCAAAAGCAATTTTCATTAATGAATTTTATTTATGAAACTTAAGGTTACAACAAAAAAAATAAAATTTTAAATTAAAAAAAAAGCAACCAAATTTTCAACTTTGGCTTACTCCTCCTTTATGGGATAGAAAGACAGGTAATTAAAAAATATGTATTTACTTTTATGTATATATCAAAACATATAAGAAACTATAGTAGTGGATCCAGTATGGATAATAGATTTTATAAGATCGGTAAACATAAAAGAATTTAAGTTTATATAAGTGTTACTTCATTCGCAGTTCGACGCAAAGCTGGTATAAGAAAATTTTTTTTAATATACTCTATACAAATACATACCAAAATTCCTAAAGCGGAGAAAATGTGTTCCAAACCCTGAGTTTTTTTTAAGTGCCCATTGTTTACCCTGTGATAGTACAAATGTTTCTATATATTTAAGGAATATATAGAGTTATATAAGTATGGTATCATTGTGAGAATTGGTTCTTTGGCTTTTAAGAATTCTTCTTTCCTGTGAAAGACATCCCATTTTTACACGGCCAGATCAGCATTTTGGCTTCCAAGAATTTCCAATATAATCTCATTAGACAGTTTACTGTCCCATCCTTTTATGTAAACAGTGGACATAAGAGCATCGGAAGATTCCTCTTCTTTACCGGTCCCAGGTAGGGGGAATAATTTCTTCAGTGTGCCAGCACATTGGTGAGGAGTCAATCCATCAACATCATGCCCATGCTGAACTCGCAGCTCACATTCTCAATTGGTTATTTACCTTTTGAAGCGACCAGATCTTATACCTTATATTGCTGGTCTATTGGAATTTTGCCTGTTGGCATCGTATACTGCATATCAGATATCGTCCCCGTGTCTTCTCTTGGTAACTTTGGCGTAAGATAGCGGCTCTTTACCTTTTCCACCGTTTAGCTTCTCCTCTCCCGTTTTTCTGACCTTCTTTTGTGCTACCTTGTGTTCTTCTTCGGAATATTTGGCTTCGCAGGCTTCGACTGCATATTAGAAGACGGTGAGTCATTTTTCTTCTTAGGTTTATTCTCAGTTGTCAACTCCTCAGGAGAACTGATCGTCTTTACCTCAGATATTAAGACAGAATCCGATTTTTTCCTTTGGAGTGTCTTGAGATTGACTGATTCCCTGAAGCATCTTCTTCAACTACCTCCTCTGTGCTACATTAAGCCTTTTTTTAGTAATAGACTTTTTTGGATTTGCTATGAGGATTCAGAATGGGGACCCTCACCTATGTTTAAAAGCTGAGGTAGTTTAGAGCTCTCTCCGAGAATATTCTTATCTTTTACCCCAATGTTTTTGCCAATAGCATGCTGTACACTTGACATATTGTCCGCCACTGAGGCCAAGGTACCCACTCCCGCAGTAGTGTTTTGTATAAGATTCACAGGAGTTGGACAGTCTGCTCTCCCTCAGTTTAAGTGAAACTATAGCTGAAGACAGATTGTCCATCACTACCTCCTATCCTCCACCCGGGAAAGCGCTTCGTAGAAAAAACTGTTAGGAAAAACTTTTTGCCTAAACCGAAAGCTTTTTCAATCACTATATTACCATCAGCACTATATTGCACTTTCTGTATTTTTATACCCTACACCACTTTAGTGGATAGGGCATATTGGGTTTGTGCTGATGTTTGTAACGCACAATAATATTGGTCCTATACCCATCTTAAACCTTGTAATCAAACTACAGGTCGCAATTTTGAAAATAATTCAAAATTCAATGAAATTTGGCAGATGATCTTCTATGGTACCGGACAAGCTGGTCCATTATTTCACCTAGCCCCTATACAACTGAACCCGACGAATAGGGATTTTAAGTTTATAATTATGTTTAATATACTCGTATCTCGACAAAAAGCTGCAAAACCAAGTTCTATACTATCCTTGATGACCCTCATGAATTTTATAATTATAGGGTCTCATTTGACCATAGGGCCTATATGAAGCCCCCTTCAAAATTTGACTTAAATGTCAACAATAAATGGCTTAAGTGTAATTCAAGGCAAGGTACAATTCAACCTAAATGCTTTATTATGAAAACTAAATCACATTTTATTTTTGTAATAGGTATAGGGTATTATATGGTCGGCCTCGCCCGACTATAATTTCTTACTTGTTTTACCATATTGTTAAACTATTCAAGCCCTTCAATTTTGCTTAAATAATTTCGATCTAATAACATCTTATTTTAACTTTTACATAACACTTTATAGTCAAGACCTTCTCCCCCCCCCCCAAAAAAACACACACAAAAAACATTCAGACTAGAGCTATATTATTGAAGTAAATCTCTTAACCGTTTTTGTTTACATTAGAAAATCCAGTTTTTTTTGTGGTTAAATTAAAATTTCTGTTAATTTTTACTTTCATCGGTGGTTTAACGTGTGTATTTTGAAATATATTTGCTCGGTTATTTTGTTGTTGTTTTTATGATTGTGATAAAAAAATTAATAAAAGTTAATTTATTAAAAAATATACCAAAAAACCAAACAAACAAATAAAAGCATCAGACAAGAACGAGTAGACCAAAAAAAGTGATAAAATTAAACAAAACAAAAATAAATAGTACAAAAAATAAATATGTAACAGTAAAGTTTATTTACACGCCCTCAAATTGCCATTGTTTCTTTATTAATAAGTATTTCTGCTTAGATAATGAAGTTTTTGTTAGTTACCGGCATAATTAGTTGTTTAAATGAAAAGCCAGACTGTTGCAAATAAATTATATGTCTTCATGTATGTATGTATGTATGTTTAAAATTTAATGAGGGCCTTTAGAGGCTGAGATAAATGAAAAAACTATGTATGTATATTGTTGTAAAGCTTGTAAAGCATTCGATATTCAAAAGTGGGTGTATTGCAAAAAATTTATGACTTCGATAAAAAAATTAAAAGAATTTATTGATTTATATTGTTGTTATTATACAATATTACAACAATTTACCAAACAAAAATCAAACTACATACTCTAGTAAATTTACCATAATTCCAGTAATTTGCTAAATTACAATAATTTATGTTTAAAAATTAAGTTTCCTAGACGTAACTCCTGTTCTTGTCAGTATCCTGGAACACTTTTTATTGCAAATCTAGCGCTATACCCTACCGCTAACGGGCCTGTTGTGTGGTCCTTTTTATCTAAAATATTGGTGAAATTGGAAAGGAATTCTTAGACGTTTTTTAGAATTTTCCATTCTGTGTAGTGAGAGGCTTATAATCTGGTAATTTGGCAGAGTTTCGGACTTTGTTTTGTTTCGCTAAAGACTGATAAATGGTGAAATTTATATTTCGGAATATGTTAGGTGCTGTTGCCGAAAAATACAAAATATATCCCGCTGAGATGTGACTGTGGAACTGAAAGTTGGGAAAGAGTTAGTTTTAAATGAATAAGATGGAGAATGAATCGGGGGCAAATAGACCTATCCATATACTCGTATGAATGTGTTGGATAAATGAGAAGTGTATGTTAATGGATTGGATAGAACCCATATACTCGTATAAATGTGTCGCATGTTTGCTCCTGAATGTGTCGGATAATTGAGAAGTGTGCTGGGTTGAATGGTAATAGATTGTTCGGATAACACTATAAAAATTCCCTTCATTGTTCTATTCATACCAGACTTACCACAGTGTGATCTCTATGAATAAGAATTCCGCTTATTTGAAAGATTCGATTTAACAGAGACCATCCTATCTGCGTGGGAGATCAAATAGCTTGAGTGCTTGTACATGGGCAGGCCGAACAATGTACGAATGTTGTCACCTGCCTGTGGGTGCAAGGCATTCAAAAGGGGCTGTGGAGGGCCACCTAACAGCTCACCCAGTATTTAAATTAGAACGTCATGGCAAGTGTTCACGTAAAGCACTTCGAATTATGTCACATTATCAGCCGATGAAGCCCTTTTGCAAACTAATTGGCTTTTTTTTAACGGTTTCTGACAAAAAAATTGTGGTATATTTACTACTCTTGAAAATTTACTGCAAAAATCACTTCTAGCTACTTTTACATTATACCACAAGTTATAAGTGTGATCTGTCAAAATATTTAGTAGAAGAGAACGGATGGGATAGTCTAAATGCAATATGTAAAGAAACCATTACACATTGAGAGAAAATACGGATGGGAAATTGACAGTCGTATTTCTCTCTTGATTTTTTGAATTGATTCAAAAAAAGCTTGTCCCATTAGATCAGGGATGTATTTTTATGTAAACACATACAAAAAAAAAGAAACAGCTGTTTCCATTTTACTTTGTTATTGTCTTAAACCAATAGTGGAAAAGCAAAAATCTTTACTAAAATACGCATGAAATTTCATTTGAGTTTTCATACATAAAGTGTTATAGTCTAAAGGGCTCTTTGACATGTTTATCGAACTAATGATTTTGTTGATGAAAGGTAATGCAAGAGGTAAACATCAACAAATTATTTACAAAGTTGTTGCATTATTTTAAGTGTGAGAAAGTTTTAGAATATTTGAATAAAAGTTCCAATAGTAAACGTATGATTAAATCACATTCGAAAACATTTCACTCAAAACTTTAGCTTTTTAGTTATGACAGTTACTACTATTTACTTGAATAATCATGTAAAGAAAACCTATTTATATAAATAATAGGTGGCAATAGAAATATTTTAAAATGTTTTGATTTAAAACATTTTCTATTACTTTACAGTCATTTCTCACTTTTTGTTTTCGTTCGTGCGGGATTCATTAACACCGAACAGAATATAAATAGAAAAAAAAAAGTATAAAATAAAAAACAAGATTAGTAAATAATGCCACTTAAGTGCGATTTTTTGTAGATATTTAAAATAAATCTCAAAAGTGCTTAAATAACTACAGTAAAATGAAATTAAGAAAACAAAAAAAAAAACGCAAAAAGATTTACTTTGCAAACATTCAATGAATAAACATTAAATGTACGAATACATACTATCTTCACTGCAAATAATTCAAATGGGTGTTTAGAATCCATAAGACGACTTGGGTGTAAAAATGTAGGAAAAAAGCCAAAAAATTAAAAAAATTACAAAAGAAATAAAAACAAGTAAGAGTGTTATATTCGGCTATGCCGAATCTTATATACCCACCATCAAACCTCGTTTGACT